ATATATGCAAAAATGCATAAATAAATAAAGAAATAGCTTCCAAGACCATTATAAAGTGATGCTCATTTAACAAAAAACAAAAAAAAATGTACACTGGTATATAAAAGTACCCAGTTACGAAGACATTTCACAATATTGTAATTGGAGAAAATGTATTGTCAGTTAGCATTTTTTCTGTTCTCTGGAAACAAAAGAAGTGAGACAATGATGGAAATGATTAGATGCTGGATGTGAAATCCTGCTGTACCTCCAGTCATCTTTGGAGAGGTTGTACAGAATGTTCATCTCGTCGTCATCCTGCAGCAGTCGATACGCCGCGCTGACGTGGTGACTCTCCAGCACAGAGCGGTCGTTGTACAGGATGGCCGTGTCCGACCTGCAGGAATCAATGTAAACTCAGGTCTAACAGAACTGAATCTGATTTATATTTTACATTTACAGATGACATACAGTGTCCTGCAGTGTGACTCTTTTAGCTTTATTCTACTGTAATTATTGTATGCTGTTTTAAGCTTAAACTGGAGAACACGTGAGTTGCACAAGGCATTGCAAGTGGTTTTAAGTGTGTTGCTAGGTGTTTGCATACTGGACCAAGTCAAAGAAGTGTAAAGGTGTCTGCACACTGAGTCCGAATTTTTCGTCCGAAATTTTCGCACGTTGAAAAATAAATACGACCTAATGTTGTGTCAATCACGTTTACACACTGCCTCCGAAACTTTTGTCCGTCATTAAAAATTCCGACCAGGTTCGATTTTCTGCGTTTTCGCATCCGTAGCAAGCATTTTGATAGGAAAGGATGACGAATACGAAAAAAATGGAAAAATGCATACGAAAATTTCGGACTCAGTGTGCAAGGACCTTAAGTCTCAATGATATTATTTAGTTTCTCTCATACTGTGTAATCAAATACTTTTGATTATAAAGGAAAAGTAGCAAAATGCAAATTAGAAAAAAAAAATGTATGTCTGAATATACTATCATTCAAAAGTCGGGTCAGTAAGATTTTTTTTTTTTTTTTTAAGAAATTAATATTTTTATACAGCAAGGACATTAAATTGATCAAAATTGGCAGAAAAGACATTTATGTTACAAAAGATTTCCGTTTCAAATAAATGGTGCTCTTGTACTTTCTATTCATCAAAGAATGAAAAATATGTATCATGCTTTCCACAAAAAAATATTAAAAAGCATAACTGTTTTCAACACTGATGATAATAATTAGAAATGTTTCTTGGCAGCAAATCAGCATATTAGAATGTTTTCTGAAGGATCATGTGACACTGAAGACTGGAGTAATGATGCTGAAAATTCAGCTTTGACCACAGGAATAAATTACAATTTAAAACATGTTCAAATAGAAAACGGTTATTTTAAATTGTAATAATATTTCACAATATTGCTGCACTTTTGATCAAATAAATGCAGCCTTGGGAAGCATAAGAGACTTCCTTAAAAAAAATCCTTACTGAGCCCAAACTGAACAGTAGTGTATACAAACTAACCCACAGACCATTATTTTATTCCCATCTCCCCATTCTTCTCATTTGTCCCAGGTAATGTTTGATAATAGTTTGATTCAGCCGGTTGAGGTGCAGGAGTCTGATGGATGACTCAGCCAGCGGTGCTCATGCGTTACCTGGTCTGGATGTGGAAGTTGTTTGTGGTCCCGGTGTGTTCGTAGTCGTGGACGGCAGCAGCGAAAAGCATTGCAAAAATCTCCAACTCTGTCAGCCAGTGCTGGAGAGGGAAAACAATGTCACATGAGAAATCTTTAACATCTGAATGAAGTTAAATCGAGAGCAGTTGAAGCCTTGATGAAATCTCCACTTTCTAAGCTGTTTCTTCAGACAAAAGTAATCCCGTGCGTATTTCCTCCAAAGTTTCAAAAAATATCTCAATAATGTTTGTGCTCAGATTTGCCAAGATACTAGAATAGATATAGATACAGGGAAGATCTCAATATGAACCCAAATACTTCTAGCACATTTAGGTCTATACACTTACTTTATGACAACTGAATCATTTGTGTCTATGTTAATTTCTCCTAAAGAATTTTAGAAGAAACATCTGAAACGATGTTGGTTTAAATAATGCATTACTGACATAACAACAATGAGGTTAAATGGAGAGCAAATGGAGACTTCTGCTAAAATTCCCACCTTCTAAGATGGGATCTTGAGGGTCCCAGTAATCTCAGAAAAGATCTTAATAATGCCCCAAAATGTGCTCAGATTTGCCACCAAAGTCTGATCAAAAATCAAAGATCTCAATGTACACCTCTATACTCTTAATCTATTTCAATATTGACACATTTCTGTCTATTTTTATTTCTCCTAAAAAATGTAGAAGAAAAGTTTCTTTTTAAATAAAACCCGACTGAGAACTCAGCTTAGACTTTATATCGAAGCAATACAATTTTTTTTATTTCAATCTGTATACCTATTTTTTAACAACTATTGACTCATTTGTGTCCATTTTTATTTCTCCTCAAAAACTTCAGAAGAAACATCTGATATTTAAATAATGACGACAATGAAGTTAAGCGGAGAGCAGGAGGAGACTTCTGCTAAAATTCTTGATGAAAAAGGAAAACATCTCAATAATGTCTCAAAATGTGTTCAGATTAGCCAAGACACCAAAGTTTACAACAAGAACATTTCTACCACATTCAGCTCTACACTCTTACTTTATGACAACTATTGACTCATGTCTATTTTTATTTCTCCTTAAGAACTTTAGAAGATGTTTCATCTGAGTCAAAGCTGATATTTAATTTAAACGTTACCGCAAATATTATGTGGTTTCAAATTAAAATTCATCTCTATACCCTTATTTTATGACAGCTATTGACTCATCTTTGTCTATTTGTATTTTAGAAGAAACGGAAGAAAGAATTTTAGAAGAAAAACCTAGTCAGTAGCAGTAGAATAATGAACATATGTTGACAGACAGGCTCTGAAGGACGCCGAGCTCTCAGCTGCTCGCCGCATTCCCGCAGGACTTCATCTTAATATTTAATCACCTATTAGAAAGACTCCAGTTCATTTCAGTTTGGTGTAAAATGACACCATCTCACCTCATTTGTCTTGAGTCACACGTGCAGAACAAACACTGAAGTGCATTGTGATGAAAGAAATGGCTCTCTGTGAGAAAGCATAAATTGTGTGATGGCTAGTCAGATGGAAGATAAAGGGATTTGTGTCAAGACGCTTATATGAGTAAACAGCGAGAGGATTCTCTCTGTTTCTCTTCAGGAACTGCTGCTTTATGATTGGCCTGATGATTGTTCATTAAAAAGCTTAAGGTGTATGTGTGTGTGTGTTTGTGTTTGTCAGCAGAATTAATGATTACGCCGCTGGGTTTCTGTGCAGTTACTCTTGAGTTCGTGCCCACAGGCTTCAACATGTCACAGTAACATTATCAAGATGATTAACACCGTATCTGCATTGAGAGCGAGTGGAACAACACAACATTAGATCATTATAATCAACAAGCTGGTCTATGCAGCAAGAGCTCTGTGTGAAGCGTTAATAATGAAAGGTAGCGATTGAGTGTTGTTATATTTTGCCGCTGTAAACACGAGATAAGAGTTTACACAAACCTGGCATTGTGAACTTAAACTAGAACTATTAAAACAGTTTTGGTAATTGAAAAAAAATATTAGATGAAAAAAAAAAGTATTTTAAAAATGACAAAAATTAGACTTAGCTGAAATACTAAAATTACTAAAATAATAGGTTGAAGTAAAAATAGTACAACTACAGCTGAAATAAACGATACTATAAACTGTACAGAAATACACAAAAACAAACCAACAAAAGTACATAACAAAATTTACTAAAACGTAAACTAAAATTAAAATGAAAACTGTACAAATAAAAGATCATTCAAAATAATAAAAAGACAGCATATAAATAATACTAAAACAAGAAAAACTGTACAAAAAAAACAAAAACAGTACATATATTATAAATAATGAATATGTACATTTTGTATTTATTACTATTACTATAATAAATGAATGTGTATATTTAATTTGATATATAAATATATAAAATATTATAATATATGATAATATGTACAAACTATTTTTGGCAAATGTGTATCATGAATGAAACAGCAGTCTACAATTGATTATTCATTTAAAAAATTAAATGAATGAATGAATGAAATTATATTTATATATATATATATATATATAGAGAGAGAGAGAGA